ACAATAATGCTGGGAAAGGTAGAGGGAAGTAGAAAGAGAGGAAGGCCATATGCCATATGAATGGACTCTATTATGGAGGTCACAGGTATTAAGGCCTTGCAGGAATTAAGCAGAGCAGTGGAGGACAGAGGGTCTGTGATGTCTCGTCCCTAGGGTTGCCATGAGTTGAGATCGACTCGAGGGCAGTTGACAACAACAACAAACAATTCAAAATCATTTTTTTAAAAAATGTTTCAAAAAGCAAGCGTTTCTTGAGAACTAGCGAAAACAATGTCAGAAACCACTTCTAAACTGATATTAAGGACAAAAGATTGTGCCAAACAATAGGGGTTTGGCAAGCTATAGGAATTTTGATAGGGATGGAAATAGCTTGACTTCCCTTGGTAGGGAATTCCACAGTTGAAGTGCCCAGTGAAGGAAGATTAGAGGACTAAATTAGAAAATTAAAATACATATTGTGCACTGTCATATTGAGAAATATATATATAATTAATAAAATTAAAATTTATATCAAAATTTTATTTTGCATGAAGATAATTAATCTACTACTCTTGGCCCCTTAATATTAATCATGGAACAAACTTTTCTTTTTTCATCCAGTTTATGCTTTCATCCAGCAAAAGTTAGTTTGTTCTTTTTTTTTCTAAACTTTGACTGTATTGTGATTCAGCCATAATTTTGAAAGAAAAATTAATATATAAACATTTCAGTGCAGACCTGTGGGGAGAAAATATGAGATCTGCCCAGCAGCACTTGTTGCCAATGCACCTCTCCTTTGATTTACCACATGCCCCTGAGCTATAAAATGTGTGTGTGTATATTTGCCTTCAAGTCACCTGTTGACTTATAACAATCCCATGAATTTCCTAGGTTTTTTTTTTTTTTGCCACTTCTTTTCTTGAAATATAGCTTACAGCAGTTGGTATTTGTGGGAAGTTTCCTGTCCAAGTACTAGCCAGGCCTGAACTTCCTTAGCTTTCAAGATTAGAGTGGATCTGATGCCTTTAGAGTATTTTGGCCACTCAACTCCAATGCCTTTACATATTTCATAGGCAAAACCTAAGGCTGAGCAAAACACCTTGTCAAAAGGTTAACATTTCCTGTCACGGCAACTCCAAAGATTCCATAGGTATCTTAAAATGTTGTCAAACTGCGTTATCTTTACCGTGTAGACGTTATCCTGTATGTGGTTTCTGAGTGTCTGTTTTCAGGGATGAAGCTTGCTGTATGACAATACATCAGATACATTGTGATCAGTGAAGCAGTCCACAAAAGCTTATGACTAATAAAACATGTTACTCCTTAAGTGCTACCTTGTTGTCTTTGCTACAACAGACTAATAAGGTTCTCCTCCTCCCTGAATTTTCAGTGAATTTCTTTCTCGTGACTCAAAAGGAAGAAGAACCTTTAGGGAGCTTTCAATTATTTTTAGTTAGATTACTCAGGTCCAAAACACACTGCAGAAATTATATAGTTTGAGACTGCTTTAACTGACCTGGCTCAGTGCTAGGGAATCCTGGGAATTGTAGTTTATTGTGGCACCAGAGCTCTCTGATAGAGAAGGCTAAATGTCTCACAAAAGTACAGTTCCCAGAATTCCCTAGTATTGAGCCAGGGCAGTCAAAGCAGTCTCAAACTGGATTATTTTTGCAGTATGTTTTGGAGCAAAGAGTGCTGGTGTTTCAAAAAACTACCAATCCCAGGATTCTGTAGGATGAAGCCATGGCGGTTAAGGTGGTGTCAAAAACTGCATTATTTTTGCAGTGTAAGTGCACCCTAAGACTTGCATAGATTAGATTTTCGCCACTAATTTCTAACATTTGTTCCAGGAAAAAAGGATAGTATTTATTTCATACATTTGTAAAAAGAAATAGTTTCTTCTCAACAAAATAAATTTCAACTTTTGTTAATTTGATATTTTGGGAATGGGATTCTCATTTTTAAAAAAATTATTTAGTTAAAAACAGCAACCTATAAATACAAAACCAACACAGAAAGAATAAGCCAGGCTAGAACCTTTGTCCTTGATGTATTATTAGCCCTTTTTATGTGTAAAGAGTGTGGTGGTCTTGTTTTTAATTGGGAACATTCAAAAGTAGAATTCTTCACTGTTGCCTGAAGTGGCGCAGTCTGTTCTGTCCGCTTATTCTGTTAGCTGTATAGAGTTGGCCCAGGTCACCAGCATGCAGAAGTAGAATAGTTTCCAGTGCCTACCAGCCTGCAGATATTTAATGTGATCCAATGGGTATGTATGACAGGGGGGCCTGGAGATATCTCATCCATAGGGTTGCCATGGGTCGAGACCGATGTGAAGGCAGTTAACAACAATGGGTATGCCCCCAGTTTAGTGCATTTCTAATGTGAAATGTGCTGATATTAATTATCCATAACTGTAATATGTCCAAATATATTTTTTGCACCTTCAAGGTTTGATGCTTTTGTTTCGCTGATGCATGGTATGGGTGTGACTAGTGTAAGAAAACAATGAGATCATTGTTAACAAGATCGTCGCAGGTAACAATTAGCCTAAAACCCTTAATACAGCATAATGGCCTGTTTTGACAAAGTGTTTGAAGAAACAAAGGAACAGACAAACCTGGTGCATTTGTATGATGTTCTCACCAGCTGAATGGTGGAAATGCAGGTTGCTAGCAGAGATGGAAGGAGGGTTTTTTTGGGGGCTTTAGAAATTAGGATCAGCTATTTCTCTGAGACGGCCATGAAGGGAGATCTGTTGTATATTGTCTGATTTGTTGTATAGTGTCTGAATTCACACTTTGGCTCAAATAACTTGTGCCTTTCCATTAAATTGATGAAATGACCTTGGACATTCACCAGAGCTGAAATCACTTGTGCACTTAAAGTGCTTTCTTTCATTATTGTTTGAAAAATTTTCCCTGCTTCAGTTAATATACATTACCTCCATTTAGAAGTCAATCTATTCCTGCTTTACATATCATTGCAACTCTTCCATTTGTTGTGGCGGAAAAGCACTCCTCCCACACTTGTCCTGGCTGCTGGCCCATACTGCCAAATGGCTAGACTTGAATGCAGTTCTATGTTCATCCTTCAAGCCTACTCCACTGGCCTTTCCTTTATCATCTTTCCTCTCTCCAGGAAAACTGACACGTTCCAGGAGAAATCTGTAGACCAGTCAAGTGCACTCACTGTGAGATATTGAAAGGTTAGAAGAGTTGCTGTAAAAGACAACCAGAACAGTTCCCTTCCAAGAAGAGGGTTATACTGTTTGGTGGTTTGGGTTTAGAAAAAGACAATGAGGACATGATATTGATTTATAAACTCATACTTCATTTTTCAGATTTAGTATCTCCTATCTATGTCATCTATCAAATGTGGGGTTGTCCAATAACTTTATTACCGTATTTTCCGGTGTATAAGATGACCCACGTA